CCCCAAAACCCCAAAACCCCAAAACCCCTAAATATGCTTCTTTCATTGAATATAATGGATAGACTTTAGCTCAAGAGTCACTCTCAATTTGTCCTGAAATAAGTAGTTAAGGGTCAAAGTATTATTGGTAAATTGCTTGAGCTATTGGAGCAAACAGTGAGATCAAAATTAGAGCTCCTCAAGCCCCATCTGTTAGATTTGTTTAACATCAAAGATCAAAATATAACTTTCTAGGAGATAGATGAGATCAAAATACTGTAATGGAGACAAAAGAGAAGCATTTGAATACTTGAATGCAAGAGATTTGAAAACTTGTCCTTCATAAATAAACAGCCCAGAAAATCAGAAAATTCAAGGTCAACATAAGTATAACTTTCAAAATGATCAGTTGACTGATACACACAAAGAGCTTAAAGGGCGATTACTAGCATTGCTATAATAAACCAGAACGGAGTCAGCATGTAATGTATTTCTTTATTAAGAACTCTCAATAATATTGCTACCAGAGTTGCTGTTAAGCAGGTGAAAGATACTAAGATAAATCCTAGTGTATAAAATTTGCCTTGTTAATAATGACCATTCTTGTGTAAAGTTAAGATGAACACTCAAATAAATGCACCAACTACAACAATTACTTTCAGCTTAGTAATGGCTTCTTTCAGCATAATATATGAAAGTATATCAGTCAAGAAAGGATGGATATTAAAAATCAGAGTAGCCAAGCTTAGGGGAATATATTTGAAAGCAATATAGAACCATAGAATTCCTACTGCACCAATAATACAAGGTATAACCAACAATAATTTGTACCCTTCCTTCACATCAAAATTTTAACTTCTATCACTCCCATTTCACAAAGCTCATCCTTCCAATATTACCAACCCTCATCCCCATTCCCACTACCACTAAAATAACCATTCCTGACATAAACCATTCCCAGTGACTCCCTCTTCCTCAATCCTTAACTCTGCACTAATCCCATACACAACCCCTCATCACCACCATCCCTACATCTCTCTCCACCGCAGCCTCACCAAGCTCTTCACCCAAAGCCACTACCATTTCCTCCCCTCTGTTAAATCCATTCAACTTCTACAACTTTTCTTGGGGTTTTGGGGTTTTGGGGTTTTGGGG